TGGAGAGTGCAGGTCATGAACACTCCTGTCCCATAGGAGGTAGAAGGAGGTTAAAGCATTTGTAAATGAGGTTTCACACAGTGTATTATCCCTTTCCCCCCCTTTTAATCCTTCTGTCCTGAATGAACGCAGACTTTTATTCTTTCTAAAGAACTAAGCATTCAAGCTGCCAATACAGAGACAGAGCATTCCCCGCTGCACTGACTCTGACTGATTTTGAACTTCTGGGTCTCTACAACTGTAAAATAAATAAATAAATTTCTTTTCGTTATAGACTGCTCAGAGTCAGGCAATTGGTTATAGCAGCACTACACAGAATAAGCCATCATCTACTCATATGATATCATATCAGTTACCTCATATGAACCTGTGAGAATGCATGCTTATTACACTGGACACCAAGTTTCTATTTAAGATTTGCAGCATCTCCTCATTCAGTGAGAATCTTAAGTATGGGCATCATTGAAAGGTATGGTTGAATTCACTGCAGAAAGCAAGTGGAGTGAGAATAATTAGGTGGGATGCTAATGTTAACACACCTAGAAATAAAGGTCATTTAAAAGAGAGAAACTCAAGGCATTATAGAAATCTGCTCATTCACAGCATGGTAAACAGTGCGACATACAAACCATGCATCATAAAACATCCATGACAAAACTTTAGGGTCCACATGCATGGCTGAGAATGGCAGGAGAGACCAGGGAACTGGTGACGTATCAAACCTTCCTTCATTTTCTTCTATTGTAGGACCACAACAACCCAAAATAAGCTTCATAGCCGTGGCTGCAGTGACATATGAGCAGGGATGTCTGGCATGAACAGAGGTGAGCAATAAAAGTGAAGCAAACGAGCAAAAATATATCAAGGCTGACAAAAATGATGTGTTTTCATTGTTAAGAGATGTAGTGAAATTCGCATCTGGTGAATTCCAGTCCAGCGTTTTCATGATATATCTTTTATAATTTCCCTCTAATTATAATGAAAATCATTTCTCAATGTAATTTTGCAATAAAAATGTTTCTTTATTTCTCATTACATAAGAACATGATCTCGTACAGTGGTAGAGCGGGCTTACAGTGTGCACTCCGTGTCTTCTCTTTCTTACCATTTAATCTCCTCATAGTCTACAGATGTCAAGAGGTTCAGATTAAGCTTGTTAAAGATCTGCTTCACTCGAACTCACTGATGATTATTTATTTAGCAGTTTTATGTAACCCTGTCATTGCTAAGCACTCTATTAATTTGCCGAGGGACAAATCAACACTAGTTATTTTTCTACCGGCTATTAGACTCGGTGCTGCTGTTTGCTAGAAACCACTTGCCAGTTAATTATAAATTATGGGTCCTCTTTGCCTATATTAATTGATATCTCCTCTGCCATTGTAATACTAGACAAATAAATTGAAGGCAAGATTTATTAAGCAGTGTGTGCCTTGTGTCTCTTGATTAGTATTCTTTACTTTTTTAACATTTATACTTGTTTATACAGATTTGACAGAGCAATGCATTAGAGAAATGATCTTTAGGGTGTTTTGTGGTTAGAGAAAAAAAAGGAAAAGAAAAGCACGGAGAGAAATAGAAAAATTTAATAGACTCACAATTCATCGCAAGCAGCTCCTAAAACGCTGCTGACTCTTGTGCTAAGAAACGGTGGTGACAGACTCCTAATTACACACAAGCTAATGCTCAAGTGGGTTTAAAGTCTATGTGTCCTGTCGTTATAAGATAAACTGATATGAACATCACCTCGGAACTCTCTTGCTTTGTGCGTGCAATGTCCTTTGTTGTAAATTTTCATCTGTTATACGTGCTTCTGTATACAGACCCCTTTTATCCTCGAAACTTTCATTTTGTTTAAATTGTGACTTGTTAGATGGTCTTTGTGCAGGTTTAATACATTATGAGACGATGCGTGACAGCTATTTTTAATTTTCAGCAGCATGAATTCTAGATGGCGCTAGCACAGAACCTGCGCCTTTCCAGTTGAGACCACAAAGGAACTGGAGTCAGAATTTAGGTGAGCTAGGAAGGGGAAATTACCAAATAAAATCTTAGTCTAATCTTCATACTGCCTGGACGGTATGAAGCACTGAAGAATTGCAGGTTTTGTGGAACTCTTTACCACAGCTGGTTCTTGTACTATATTCTGATGTCAAAGGGCACCGGGACCCAGCTAACCACCAAAAGAGCTGGATCTCTGAAATCCTAGTACATAATTTCTCCACTTAATTGACGGCTTTGGCCCAACTTGCTTTTGTGGCATGCTAGATTCCTAAATCCAGTTGATGGCCAGCAAGCTTGCTGGCGTGGTAGGCTATTTGCCTGTTAGTTCTCCAGGAAAAGGAGAGATCTATTGGCCAAGCAGATCTACTCCTAGTTCAGCTTACACATAACTGCATCTCTTTTCCGTTCTATCCATGGTTGACGATCTGAAAACTCTCCAACTATAATGCAAGAGGGTACCTTTTGAGTAAAATCAATCCATTCAGAAATAATGCACTCTGCTAATGTGACCATGAGCCACATTATAACAAGATTTTAAGACTCTTCTACACAGCATGCTCCCTTTATGTTGGCTGTTTCTGGACACCCCACTCCCCCGAGGACATAAGGAGTGACAAAATTGCCTCATGGTCAGGGTTCATTCAATTCAGAAAGCATGGTATCAACCATCACCAACCAAATTATTATTTTGTCTTTAGATCCTCCAGGTTACTCTTCCTGCCCACATCCACCTCAAGGCTCAAAATCCCTTTCCTCTTGGTCAAGCATGGTCAGAGCAAGTACATTTTTAGTCACTACTTAGAACTAGAAACCCCTGTGAATAGAGGAGGATTAAAGCTCACACACACACACACACACACACACACACAAAGAAAAACTTAAATAATTCAGGTTTCTCATTTAATGTTGTCAATTACAATTCAATTTATTTTATTATTTTTTGACCTACTCTACTTTAAAAAAATGCCGAATATTATTTTATACCAACTTGGTCATTTTTTTTTAAGTTGGAACAATTTGCTCCCCAGGAAATATTTAGCAAAGTCAGGATAAAAGGCAGGGGCTGCTCCTAATCTCTAGTGAATGGCAGACAGCAATAATGCTGAGCACCCTACAATGTACAAATGTGCAAAGAACCATTGATTCTAAATGTTGATGGTGCTGAGACCGAGAAACATGGATCAACTCTCTCAAAATAGGATCAGCTCTCCTACTTGAGGGGCACCAGGGAATAGAACATGACTTTTAGAAAGGAAAGCTCAGAAACATAGTTATGACGCTAATATCTAGACCTGGGTGAGTTCCGGAAGTTGTCTGAATGTGGTATTGATGCTAGAGGTTAACTTCAAGTGTTCAGAATCTGCAAAGATTAAAATGTACATATTTCGGAACCTCAATAAGTTTTCCATGAAGTTTGCTGGGGATTATCTCATGAGAATATTGCAACAGAGCATATATGGTAAAGAATTCAGTTCTACTCAATTCAAAAGAGTGGAACTGGAAGTTGTAAGCTGGCCAGCAGGGCTACCATCAGAGGTAGAACTATGAATTACGTGGTTCGTTGAGAAAGTGGAAAGCAACAGCAGGCAATTGCACATTGATAGAGGACGTGAAGTAGGTTTTAGTGCATCTGGAAAAGAACTATATTAACCTGAGATATGGTTTTTAATAGCAATTGTTTGTCAATATCCAGTTGTTCATCAACTATTCAATATAATGGTTGCCCCCAAATCCATCTCTCAATATGTTTTGGGATTTTAGCACATATTTAACATACATGTGGGGATGGGGAGATGACTCAGACAGTAAGGCACTTGCTTTGTAAAGACAAAAAGTGAGTTTCATTCCAGAACCCAAATGTAGGGATTTGTACTTGGAAGTTATCTGAATGCTGGGGAGTTAGGAGCAGATTTCTGGGGTTCCTTGGCCATCCAGCAGAGTCTAGCTAGTGAGTTCCATGCCAGTAAGTGATTTAGCCAAGAAAAAAACAGAAACGTTACCCTCTGACCTCCAAACGTGGACATACATATTCACACATATCACATATAAGCACACAATCCATATTAGAGACATAGGAGTTCACATATTCAATATTGAGCATGATTACTCATTTAAATTTAATATAATTAGATTTAATATCATCTATTGGCCTATTCTTTCCAAGTATGAACTTTGCAACCAACCCTTTCCTGTGTTCTCCTCATTCTGGAGATGACTCTCTAAGACATACAAATGAGATTGCTGATAAAATTTATACATTTGACACTAGCGACCTTCCTTGCTGTCTTTTTCTGGGTATCTCTAGTGCCCAGAACAAAACACTACTTCACCACCTGTGTATCTAGTAGGTTGTTGGTTTATAGCAGTAGGAAGACATATGATGGATGTTCATATACAGATGCCACAAAGCAGAACTGTGATGCAGTAGGTGGAAGAATTGTGCATTTACACCCAGCAGAAACTCTCCCAAGGTCCACACTAAAGGTTGGACAAGAGGCAGGTAAGTCCCTCGCCCTCTAACATGAGTTTTTTTCTTATTTTAATGAAATAAAGTTCTTTGTACTCTTACGTTGTCCATGGTCACTATTCTGCTGGTAAGAAGAGACACTGTGACCACAGGATTACTTATAAAGAACACATTTATTTGGGGCTTGCTTACAGCCTTGGAGAGACAGCCCATTATCACCATGGCAAGGGGCAGCCAGGTATAGCACTGGAGCTGGAGCTGAGAGCTTTACAACCTGATCTGCAGGCAGCAGGCAGAGCCGCAATGACACTGTGGTTAGTGTGGGAATCTGAAACTTCAAAATGCTCTCCCAGTGACATCTTCCAACAAGGCCACGCCCTAATCCTTCTCAAACAGTTCCACAACTGGGGACCAGCTAGTGAAACATATGAGCCTATGGGGGGCATTTTCATTCAAACCACTGCATCATCTCGAATGAATAATCTTGAAATCCATGTATGTACAACTAAGTCAGATGGTCTTACAATACCTGGCCATCCTCTTAATTTGTGTTTCCTGGTAAGCTTCTGTGTGTTCCTGTAGGACTCCCTTATCAGTGTTCATAAGCAGGGAAGCCAAGCTGGAAAGGAATCATGATGTCATTCCAGCTGAAAAGGGGATTCTCACCATAATCACAGCACAGCCACCACCAACAGATTCTGCAGCAGAATTTTAATAACTTGATCGTTATTTGAACTCTCAAGAGATTTTGTACCATGGCCATCTTGCCATCTTAATACAAACTAACACCAGAAAGTGAGTAACTCTTAGACGGTCAGTCCTCCATTGCCATTGACTAGGGAACTATGGATTTTTTTTTTTTTTACCAATGCTTTGAAGGGTCAAAGTCATCCTTCCCTCCTTTGTTTTCCTTACATTTTCATATACACTGTGCCCACTCAGTTGGCAACCATAGATTCTGCCAGAGTGGAGAAAACTGCTTCCCTGGGCTGGGGGCGCGGGGGGGGGGGGAGCTCTGAAACCACAGGTGTCCTTCAGCAAAGAGCATTCAAACAAACCCTTCTCTTGCATACAAATTTAAAATATGACTATGAAAGAATGGTCAAACTGCAAGATCTGCTTATTCATTGAACAAATATTAATAGGAATCAGATGCTTGGCATACAGAACAATCTACATATTCCCTACAGGAGGAGGCATTTTCTTCCCCTACAGGTACAGGAACTAAAGAGCAAAAGAATAAAGACCTCTGCGTACCAGGTCACAAAGGAGTGAAGAGCAGGAACAGTACAGAGCATTTATTTCGAGGTAAATATACTTTGAAGTTCATTATTACTTGAAAAATCAGTTCACTTTAAAAGCCATTGTCCATCTGATGGGGCTTTAGAGTTTGATTGCAGAATTCTCTGAAAGGCCTTGTTTGGGATGTAATTAACATGACAAACAAGGCAAAGACACAAGTTTAGCAAAAAAAGCTCACTTCGAGTGGATAAATTCCTCTTTTTTCCTTTCTCTGAGCGAGAAGGCTGGGTGAAAGCCCATGAAATAACTGCTGGCAAGTGGTGCTCTTGAGCTGAGGACTTGTGCTGGGGAGACTCTACTTTGTCTAGCAAACAGTGGCAAACAGAAACCTTGAAAGAGGAACATTTATTTATTTATTTCTCATTTTCTTATAAATACTCCGTTCTGACCTCCGGGCTTCCCTGACAATGCTCCAAGTTACAGGTGGTAGGCGGGGTAGAAACTCAGAAACGCAGCTTCTTGAGCCCCCACCCCCACACACACACACACACTCACACACACACACACACACACACACACACACACACACACACGCAGGCTCACATTGCCCTGCTGAAAGTCGTGGCTCAACCTGGAAGCACCAGGAACCAAGGCACCTTTGGGTGACTGGGTTCCCGAGAGAAAACAGAGTCTGCACACTAGCCATTTCCAGAGTAGAAACTCACTGTCTCCCAACGTCAAAGCCATACAATACCTGAGTAACGACTTCCTTTTCCAGCATGGTCATGGCCAAGGGCACACAGAGGCAATTTCTGTTATTAATGTGTCTTGGAAAGGAGAACTCCTTCCAGTTACTTCAAGAAGGTGATGGTTTAGTGGCCATGAGCTGCGTGGGAAAAACAGAACAGAATGTTCTTCATGTGGTAACTCTGCAATCTACTGCCCTATAGATGATGTCCCTCCTCTAAAGAAGGGTGATTCCTCGGGTTTTGTTGTCTGCTCCCTGTTGTTATGTTGTTTTGCTTGACACAGGGTCTCCCCATGTCCCCCAGGCTAACCTCAGCCTCCTCTTAGGGGCATTGCTTACAAAACTCAGCCAATATCTCTTGCGATTTGAGGGGATTAAATGAGAGATCTAAGCAACACACTATTTGGCAACCATTGAATGGTGAAAACAATGTGAATTTGATTATTATGTTAAAAATGTGAATTTTAAGATCTTCCAGAAACCAGTGCCAAGATAGAACTTGATGTGCAAGGAATTTAGAGGAGTATTCGCCTGTGAAAGAAAATGACAGAGAAGTCCAGAGGAGCAGCCAGGGAGTCTGTCGCCCTACCCCAAGCCCAAGGAGAGAAGAAAGGAAGACTGGAAGACTTGCTTTCTCTCCCTCTTTCCCCTCCACCCTCTGACAATGGATCTTACTGTAGTAGTTCAAGATCACACCAGACTCACAATATTTCTGCTTCAGCTCTGAGTGATAGAATTATAGACATGAGCCCCCATGCTCAGCAGGCTGTCTACAGGTCCCAGAGTTCCCATAGCCTCCCCAAACAATACTACCTCTAGAAACAGCAGGAGCCTTCAAGGGACTTTTCACATTCAAGTCACAGCACGGCTTTTAGTCAACTCTTATGTGATTTCCCCTGTTGTCGCTTTGTACTTGTGTAAGAATCTGAAGAGACCAGTGAACTTTTGCACAATGCACATACGCCAATAAACGAAAGGGTACAACTCTAGAGGTCTGGGGCCCTCTAAGGTCCACTCATGCCAGCAGATGCGAGGCTCAGCACCACAGCAGCAGTGTTTGGTTTCTAAAGCTGCTAGCCCCCCCAGCTCCTGGCGTATATGCATCTGTGTTCCTAAGATGACCAAATGGTTAGTCTGACGAGGATGCTGGACTTTAGTCTGACACACGAAAGCATCATTAACCAAGTTAGGCTGATTGGAGGCACACATTTAAATAACAGGTGTTTCAGACACCCTTCTCTTAGGATATGAACAAGTTTTCTCTTGCTCTCCTGAAACTCACCAGCGTCACAACCGCACCAAGATAGACAAAAGGGGCGAGGGGCACATGGAGACTCAGTCCCCACATTAAATTCTCTCTCAGGAAGATGTTCTGTGACATCCCGCATTCATCACACACCTCGCGTTCACCTCACAGGGTACCTGTGCACAATGGGCAAGTCTGTTGTTTTACAGGAAAGCCTTTCTTCTTAGCAGTGAATGGCTCCAATCACTGGGTCTCCAAAGCGTTCACTCAGCCCTGCAGCCTTAGCTCTCCATTTTCTTTCCTTCGGAGGTTAGTGCCAACACTTCAACCTGGTGGTTTTTTTTTTCATGAGTTTAAAGAACATGGCAAGTGACAGAGGTCTGGAAGAATATATTTCTTCCAAAGCTGGTGACCAATTAGTTGCTTGCCACGGACTGTCATTTCCGAGCTATGGGGGCTGCGTTCTTGTAGCCTGGTGATAGACACACTGTTTATTTTCCACTTTACAGCCTTTGCCAATACTCCGAGTCCCACACCGCTGCCTTTAATGCTGCTCTTCTGGATGGCTTATGACAGGGGACAAGATAAAAGGAATGTGAGAGTGCAAACTGGCAGCTGTGAGCAAAACTTATCTGGGGCGCACAGCAAAGAGAACGGCCGTCTTAGTACCGCACCTTTTATTCTAATGCTTCCAAATGAAATCACGGAAAACACCAAGTCCGTGAGGTTAATGCGCAGACATAAGCACTGTGGCTAAAGACTTTCGGAGGGTTATTAAGCTGTTGACAAGATGAGAATCAGACACATTCGCCACTCGGTCCGTAATTGTCTTCCATCTAGGAGCAAGGCCTCCCCCCAACTTTTATGATTCATCATATTTATTCTTTGTTTCCTCAAGCAACATTTTTTATTAGTTGCACACTCACTGCAGAAATTTAATTTCTGCCAGAGAACAACAAAGCTGTTGATTATTATTATTGAGAATCTGGTACAACATCGAGTGAAATAAAATCTATAAGGCATTAAAATGACAGATTAGGCAAGAGCTGTATTCATTTACAAGTGTTAGAACATCATGCTAATGCCTCACAAGCACAACATAAAATAAAAATCAACTCGTCTGTGCTGCTTCAGGACGGAATGCCGTGAAGCTCCCAGGAACACAAGCCAGCGCCAAGAAAAAGGCAAAGTCCTTTTGTAGTTTGCGCATAGGTCATCCTTGACAAACACGAACAAAAACACTTATCTCACTTGCACAACCAGAAAGCTCTTATCCTCCGTCATCCCAAACTAAACACTGCTAATCCAGCTCGGATTTATGCTTTCGTGGGCGTCTTCTTGTTTTTACTGGAGAGTAACTCTGGACTCGTCAGGCAACTTCACACTTTAGAGCCCGCTTCGAAACCCCAGAGAAAGTGGAAACCAGGGTCCTGAAATGTGTAAGTCAGATTTATTCTTTGTAAATAGCCTTCTCCCCCATAATTTACGTATACGAACTCACTCAAAGCTCATTAACCATCCTCCCCCCCCATTTAAGACAGAACATCTGTGCTTTCCTATCATGCATTGCAGCTTAAGACAGATAACAGGCAAATTGTGAGGATGCTGGAGACCACAGGTTAAGCGTGTGAACATCAGATTAGGTGAATGCCAGAAGCCACAGGTTAAACATGTGAACATCAGACCAGGTGGATGCTGGAGACCGTAGGTTAAACATATAAACATTATACTAGGTGGATGCTGGAGACCACAAGTGAAACATGTGAACATCAGACTGGGTAGATGCTGGAGACCGAAAGTTAAATATGTAAACATTATAACCACAGGTTAAACATGTGAACATCAGACAAGGTATTCTCCTAAGAGAAGAAAACTCCATTATATCTGTCACAACATCTCAAAGAACTTCTAGACCAGAGTGTCAAAAACTGTTAAGACAGTCAAATGAGCTGTTTATACAAGCCTCGTAGAAGGGACTTGGTCAGGTTCATGTCTCAGTTTTATATTCTGAAAAAGAAGTGCATAAAAGTGTATATCAAATCTTATCATCATAGTTAGCTCTCTTAAGTGCTTCAGTAAGGGAACTATTTGTAGATCAATTTACTTTTTGACATTATTAATAAAATAAGATGGTTACATATTTTCTACATGAATATATATTTTAAATAAAGCTTATAAAGCAGACATGTGCACTTTACAATAATAATATTAATTATATGTATAATTCTCCCTGGGTCATACAAATTCATAAATGAAATTTATAAGTCAAATATTTAAAAATCAACTTCTGATTCATTCAAAATTTAATTCTCAGAAGGCAGCATCAGGTGTCAAGGGCATCCCTTCTTCAAACCAATGGTGGACAATCTTGACAAGTTTGACTTCTATCTGCGATGGTTGATGATTAAATGGTAAGAACAGTTGAAAAGAATCTGTTAAGTGGCTGCTCTTAACACAAAGGGTGACAGGGTGAACCACAGAAGAAGGGAGACAGGTAAGCTTTCACCAGGGAGATGTCAGACACCGTTTGCTTTTTAATGTGCCACAGAGGATGCACCTAGAAAATAAACTGTTGGTGTGTCATAAATCTTAGAGCACATGGAATACTTCTACATATTCTTTGCTCAAGAAAGCATATTTCAATGTAAGTCAGTGGGCACAGAAACCTTCTTTGCTATGGTTTATTAAACATACAAAAAGATAATTGTCGAAAACCTTGTGAAACTTGTCAACACATTCCTGGTGGTGCTATGTGGTAACTGAGGTGGGGAAGTGCAGTCCGGGAAGGAGGATCTGGCTAGGGCCTATTTCAGTCTTAGCTGCACAATCCCGAACAATTTCCTTTCCTCTCTAAGGCAGTGGTTTGGAGAAGAGATTTTTAAAGAGGGCCTGCCCTAAAATGCTTCAGTGGTGTTACAAAAGCTAACTGAGAGCAGATGATGTAGGAAAAGTAGAAGGAAAAACTAAGGTAGAAATAACATTAAATAAATAATCATCGTTCTCGTTTGGCCTTGCATCAGAGTTTCTTCCCTTACTAGACTATCACTTTTTAAACCATCTCTCACTGTGAAGAATGGAATGGAGTATTTCCTGAACCTGTGAATAAGTGCTTTTGGAATCGGGAATGCAGTGTATCCTGTGTGAAGAAGCAAAGACTGAATGAGCAGAGATTCACTGACTAATAAATCTTAGAGCTTGTATACAAGTCTGGGAATTGTGAAAATGTAAGAACATTGGTATGGGAGATAGACACATTTTCCAGGCACATGGTGGCACCTAAAGCTTTAATGAAGAAAAATCCATCTATGGGGGTAAGAAGGGAAAAAAAAAGAAAACACATGAATTTGAGTTTGGCATTCTCCCCACTGTCTGGCTGCTAATTTTTTGAACTTCACCCAGGCTGTATGTCCAACAGACCACATGGTGATTGCTAAATTGCTCAATGACCACAAGCTACAATCATGAGGAAATATTCATGAAAATTAACATCCCATTTAATACTTACCACATTTCCAGCCAATACTTTGTGTACCAGAAAGTCCTCGAACAGGCTCCAAAACTTTTCAGTTCCTGACAAATGCTCTGGCCTCTCTCCAAGGAGCTGGGCAGCAATCTGGGCTCTGTTGGAGAGTATGGCAGTGGCGTGAACGCTGGTGGAGGAGAGAGTTCTTCCCAAGACCATCTCAAGACCAGGGAGCTTGGAACAGTCCCAGCTACCAAGGTCTCTATTATTGTGACTGGAGGCAGCATCTTAACTGCCTCCAATCTTAGGTAATCAAAGCTGGAACTCAAATCAGCGGCAAATATTTGATAAATTGTGTTAAATAGGAGAAAACCACATTTGCTTTTGAAGTATGATGGCATTTATCAGAATGAATTCTCAACTTTAGACTCTTTAAAATTTCCTTAAAAACAGAAGAAATGATACCCATTAGAAGAGTCTTATCTTCTCAGGAGCTTGCCATGCTATTAACTTATATAAAGTGTCTACCCTACTGTGTTGGGTTATTTATGCTTGTATGCTTAGCATCTACGTGGATACCTACATCTATCTCCTTATCATGAAAATTTATTTTCTCTCATTACCCTAAGAAAGCATAATTGTTTGTATTCTTTAGCATTTTAAAAACTCCTATTTATAGACATTCCAAGAAAAATTGAGTTTTCCACGAAGTTCAAACACACCCAAGTGACTGTCTGATACAAGCCTGATTTTCTTTAGACCATGCTATTCGGGGGGTTGTACAAATGATTACTTTCAATGATAAAACTTTAAAGTGCATGGCTACGTCTTGAGCTCTTCAGAGTCTCTCTTAGGTCCAGCTCGGTCTTGCACACAGTGCCTCCATTCCATCCGTGGATGATCATGCTGATAGATACCTCTACAGGACATAACAATGTCTAAACTCGATAGCATACAGAACTACCGAATGCCCACAGCTGACAAGGGTAAACGCCGATCCAGCATGGCATAACTGAAAGAAGACTCAGCCAGAAGCAGAAGAATCTTGTTCACTTCCTGTATCTGGAACTAGCAATGTGACTGCATCTCACAGCTTCCTTTGCTGTCCCTTGATAAGAAGTATTTACAGTAGATGACTTTCAAGGTCCATTTTATCACTAACTACCACGCTGAATCTTTGCACTGTCTGAAAGAAATACCAGGTCACTGTAATCCATGAGGGCCATAGACCAAGGCACTACTCCTTTTGGGTTGCTTTGGTACTGGTGTTGGAACTCACAATGATGGTTGTCCAAGCACACGGTTAACTGAGTTTTCAACATCAACCTTCCCCCCTTTGATTGTTATTGCTGTTCCTTAGACAGCTCTATGAACATTGTCAAGAGTTTCTTTCTGCTTTTCTGATCTTCATGGTCTCCTTTCTAAAGATGTTTGCAAAGTAAGGACTCTCTGCGGGACCTCTGTGAAGTATCACAGCGACGGCAAGCCTGCACACAAGAGCACATCCTTGGGAATCCATGAAGATCTTGCTTTTGGAGTGGCATGGTTCCTGACACTGTGCACCATGACTCCCCAGGCTACACTACAGCAAAGTGCCATTTCTAGAGGAGGCATGTAAGAGAATCACTCCATTCAGGTAGGCACATGTGGAGCGTTCTGGGCACATCAGAGAAGCAACAAAGAGAGTTCTGAGGCGCACTCCAAACATCATCCTTCAGCAACACTGTAATATGGGCTATAAAATCCTACCGTCAGTCTCCTTAGACTTATCCCAATGCTTGATTTGATCTGATTTACTTTGAGAGAGAGAGAGAGAGAGAGAGAGAGAGAGAGAGAGAGAGAGAGAG